CAAATTTATTCAATCGTGTACCTAGTCTCCCCCACAGCCACTTTCAGTGTCGTCACGCAACGCTTTCGCAGGGGAGAAAGCGTTGCGTAACGACACTGAAAGCGGCTGTGGGGGAGACTATCGTGTACCCCTTTCAAATGCGTTTTTTTTTTAAAAAATGCCGAACCGCTTTTATATATCTCTTAATCAGTGAAGTGGAATGAGACATAACATCTGATTGAACTTACACTGCAGGCTCATAAGCAACCGAATAAGGATAAATCTTTTTTCACTAAAAAGCTTKYCTTATTGTTGAAGATTTAAATCTRATRTAAAATGGATAAAAAARATTAAAAATCTTATATCTAATGTGGATAAGATGAGATTCGAAGCCACCAAAAGAAATTCAAAAAAATCGATTCCACTGTGCCATACCCCCGAGACATCCGCAGAGCTGAGGCGGCGTATGGACTTCGGACCTGACGGCGATTAAATCCTTCTGCCCTTGGGTGCACGAATTACGCAAGAAAATGTTCTAGCCAAAGCATCAGGGGAGAGACCAGCCGGCCCCCAGACCATATCGGCTAATCCCTTGCATCTCTGCCACGCACTGAATCGGTAGAAAATATGTTAAAAAGTCTAGTCTATTTGGTGCATTGTTTTCACGTCTATTGTTATGCTGATTCACYTGGAACCGTGGTCCAGTGGATAAATCGTTGTCGTTCAAGATACTGAGTCAAGCTCGTCTGAGGAGGGTTAGCACTTGGATGGGTGACCTAAACATTATACCTACTCACGCTTTTGCTCCTTTTTTCCGTTTGTCTTTTTTGATTTTAAAATAATAGAATATAGAATCGTGAAACTTTTCTATTTTTGAGTAACCTATTGCTATCTACCCAAATCCGTCAAATTGGAATCTAGCAAAGGAAAATCTCTCGATTCAAATAACATCCTTGAACACGTTATATAAAGAATAACATCAGCACCATATACAAACTCAATTATCTTCAATAATCTTATCTTACAA